CCTAGTGAAGTCCAGGTCTAGACGTCACACCAAGAATAAGTAGACAGGTAGTCTGGTAGCAGCAGCCATGATACTGCCCATTTTGCTCTATGGAAGCGAAACCTGGAGGCTATCTGGTGCCTTGGAGTCTCGTCTAGGTACTGCATTGGTAACAAGTTCCTAAACCGGATCATGGGGTAAGTTGACAGGACCAATAGTACAACCGACTTCTGCACCGGGAACTAGATTGGAAACTGCCAAGTCAAGCGTCTGGACACCTAGCCTTGTTCCTCTATGGGAGGTACCGGCCATCAGGCTGGTCTCTTTGAACTCTTACCCAGTAATCCAGTCCATGTTGATGTAGATGGAAGGTGTCAATGTAAGCTGCAGCCAGCACCCGCCCGAAACTCATGTCTTCACTCTACAGTGACTTGGGAGAACCAGGATACAGTCTATTGTGAATTAACAGGAGTGAATCCAGCTTGCTGGTCTATAGGGCTCAGCAGATGGTCTCTGATACATTTCAGAAGGCATGAGAGAGAACCTTCCCTGATATAACTAAGTAATTGTAATGCTTCGGTGATTCTGATTCCCATTAAACTCCATTTCCCCTTCCAGAGAGGATGACCACACCATTCAGCAGGGCAGGTAAATAGTACCGGATCTGCCAGATGGCAGGACGGACAGCATGCAAGGCTCCTTCCATAGCGTTCTCCACAGCCTTTAACAGTCAAGGGGGATGCCCTAGGGTGTCATTGGAATGAGGGGAGGTTCTAAGTGGACAGAGAGTAGCCACACATCGGTGCTCAATATACCTGCAGTTTGGAGGATGCTGCAGGAATGTGAACGAGGATGTGGTTGATTCCTGGCCAACATACCAAAATTCACTGTACCAGGTCTAAGAGCGCTGAACCAAGAGCCACAAATCCTCAACTTTCGGCGACTAGCAAAGTCTGGAAAGAAAGGAGACTATTCTTCACTGCCAGCATCAACTACCAAGTCGTGAAATCTCATAACCAGAAAAAACAATACAATATCTCGTCGGGCAAAGCTATATGTACAGAGCAAGTGGGCATAAAAATCCTGTTCTACATCAAATTTATAAACATCAGTAGGATGTGCACACAGCAATAAGACACATGAAGCCAAATGTAAGCTTCAGTCTCAATACCATTATCGTCATCGACTGGAGCGGACCTCTACTACCGAGAGTTAAAGTCTACTGGAGATGGAATTAGGATACTCCCGGGATGGTGACCATCGCGTACAGCCCGACCAATAAGTGTAGCACCCACACTAATCATGCCACTTCCAGGTCTTCCCACCTCCGAGAGAGCAGCAACTCAACTCTAGCTGCTTCAGGCTCCTCAACACTATGGTAACCGATCGTCCTGGTCGGCTAAGAGTGGACGTTTCAAACCCCCACCCTGACAGCACAGCCTGAGGTTTAACTACAGGCAGGCACTCCAGGGGGACGCCACTCTGTATTTCATTTGCAGATTCACTGATGTGAGACATTTCATCTGCAAATCTTAGATTGTTTAGGTATTCGTCTCCTATTTTGTTATCCCTTCCGTTCCATTACTTGCTTCTTGACTAATTTCCTAAAAAGCTCGTAAACAGTTTTGGTGTGAAAGGGTATCGCCCTGTTACCATTTTAAATTGGTATTTTATCATTTTCTAGTGGAGCTTGATGGTGACTGTCCCATCTTTGTATATGTTCCAGTATTTTACAATATACTCCCTACTCCCTAATCTTCTAGTACTGCTGTATTTGTACAAAAATCGATGAATGCATACCATGGGGTTTCTTATATTTGTTTCTACTCTCTTATTTTGGTGAGC